GGGGGGGGGGGGGGGGGAAGAGGGGGTTTCAGCCAAAATGGCTCATCTGTTTCTGAGAACTAATCTAGGGGAAACTATGTTTGTTTTGCCCCTGTTAAAAATTCTGGCCACCTTATCTTTGAAAAGCTCTAGCATCCCCATGTTTGGAGCGGGGGCTTGAAATTTGGCAGGGGGATGGCCTTTGTGTCAGGGATGCACCTTTTGCTGTCCCTGTGAAAATCTGCCCAAATTTGGCACAGTTACCTTTGAAAAATAACAATTCCTACTTTCTCAGTAGAGACTTAGACTGTAGCAGCTAACTTCCCTAAACATTCCGACCACACTGGGCATATTCCACCCTGGATCTGTGCAGGGCTTTCACTGCAATTGCAGCTGTGGGCTGCTCCCAACCAGGGTGGTGGGAGAAGGAAACTGAGAGTTGGGGTGCAAAGAGACTGGCTTTGGCTGGGCAAGAAGACTGGGACTGATTGGACACAGAGAATGGGAACAAGTAGCTGGAAATGGGAATGGCTAGGCAAAGAGACTCGCTCTGGGAGCTGGGTAGAGAGTGGAACTGGCTGGGGAAAGAGGCTAGCGGAGCAGCGGAGGAGAGTGGAACTGGGACCCAGAGGCTGGAAGGATGATACTAGGACTTTCTGGGCAAGGAAACAAAGTCTGGAATGAGAAGCTACAGGAGTGAAGAATGGGACTGGCTACGTGAGGAGAATGGAACTGAGATGAGGAACAGAGTGAGGATTAGGACAGGAACAAACTGGAGAGGATGGGGCAGAAGGGAGAGGTCAGGCTTGGGAAAAAATGGACAGAAAGGTCTGTGCCCACTACAGCACACTCCCCTCCAGAGCCTAAAAGGGATGCCAAGATTCCTGAGTCTAACCATTCCTCTGTTGTCAGCAAATATCTGTGAAACCTATTGGCAAAAGTGTCCCACCCCCTTCTAATGCTGGTTCACACAGAGGAAAACAGGCTGACATCAGCTGCTCAGTTAGCTCAAGGTCTGGTCTATACTCAAAAGTTAAGTTGACCCAGCTACATCGCTCAGCGGTGTGAAAAATCCACATGGCTGACATAGCTAACACAACCTAACCCCCAGTGTAGATAGTGCTAGGTCAATGGAAGAATTCTTCTGTCGACCTACCTACTGCCTCTGGAGGAGATGGATTAACTACGCTGACGGAAGAACCCCTCTCGTTACTGTAGCAAGTATCTGCGCTGAAGTGCTACAGCAGCACAGCTGCAGCTGTGCCTCTGTTGTGTTTCTAGAGTACACAAGTCGCAAGTGGCATAAATCTATGTGGTGGATCTAAAGGTTTCAACCCGACTACTGATGACCCATATGGGTGTCAATATGATACCACATGATGCAATTTTGGGGGGGAGGTGGGTGAAGGAGAATTAGTTTCCTTTTTAAAAATCTAGGAAATTACACCCAACAAACTTTGCTAAAAGAACATTATGGTTGGAGAATCAAGCACTCCAAAGTTAGGAAATGCCAGAATTAAGGCTGCCAGTACAACATTAATTTGCCCCCAGCCCTATGCATCTGCATTATGACACATTCTTTAATTACATGATCACATACTATTTTTTCCAAATGTATTGATCAGAAGAAAAAAGAACAAACTGTTTCACATTGATAGTAATGTTTGCCATATTTATACAGAGCTAGTACAAATGTTCAGAATGGTCTGGAATGCTCTAGTACAGTGGTTCTCAAACTGTGAGTCAGGACCCCAAAGAGGGTCGCAACCCCCTTTGAATGGAGTCGCCAGGGCTGGCTTAGACTTGCTGCAACCCGGGGCTGAAGCCCGAGCCCCACTGCCCAGGGCCGAAGCCAAAGCCCGAGGGCTTCAGCCCCGGGCAGCAGGGCTCAGGTTGCAGGCCCCCTGCCTGGGGCTGAAGCCCTTGAGCTTCAGCTGTGCCCCCTCCCTCCCCCCCGCCCAAAGCAGTGAGGCTTGAGCTTTGGCCCTCCCACCTGGAGTGGTGGACTCGGGTGGGCTCAGGTTTCAGTCCCCCCTCCTGGGGTTATGAAGTAATTTTTGTTGTCAGAAGAGAGTCACGGTGCAGTGAAGTTTGAGAACCCCTGCTCTAGTAATTTCAGAATAAAGAGCCTGAATGGCATAACAGATATCAAGATGAATAGGGAGCATTAATTTTTTGAGTCTGTGCCAAAGGATTTCTTTAATTCAGCCAAGAAGGCTACAAGGGACATCTGAATATCATTACAGAGAACAAATAGATTGAATAATATCTTAATAAGATTGCGGCTTTTATTGATTTTTTTTTGTTAAGTTCTCCATTTCCCATGCTGTTTACCGTTTAGTATCTACCCATTTAGAAATTCTATGGTTATTTTTTATAATTTAAAACAAGCTGTAAATAATTCTAATAAAATAAGTTTACTGGGAGCTTTATCAAAACATTCAAAACACAAACATGTCTAGGTTTTAGAATAAGAGTGTGAGATATCAAATGGAACTGATATGCTTTTCAATTCTTTGCTCCCTATTTGGAATGCAGTTGCTACACTTTTTCCATTTTTAAAGGTCAAGGTGTGCGGAGCCACCCTAAGTCACAGGAAACCTATTGACTTAACAATTCTGCAGCATGTGCCATTTAACAGGAAAATACAGCAGCACTGAAGATATATAGGGAGTGTGTGTCTGTTTCTATTCCTTAATACATTGATTCCCAACCTGTCTTCATTAGGCTAAAAGGTATGTTCATACTACGTTAGCTAGCATATGGTAACTAACACCAGGTAAAATTCTAGTGAAAACCATGGCAGTTTGTAGTTTTCATGTTGCTGGTCCAAGTAAACCTTAGGCTCCCTTTATCTCAACCTGCTAATGTGTGAAAATTACATACTGCCTTGTCTTCACTAGGATTTTACATCCTGTTAGTTACCATTTGTTATTGAACAGGTGGAAAGAACACATATTTTTTTAATAGTGCAGATGCCCTCCGCACAGAAAAACGCAAAAGAAATTTGCGGGGGGGACACGCGTCTCTTCCCTGCCAGCCCAGGCAGCGCATCTGTTACAGCTAGGGTACCAGATGTCCCGATTTTATAGGGACAGTCAATATTTGGGGCTTTTTTTATATGGGCTCCTATTACCCCCCACCCCCATCCCGTTTTTCACATTTGCTATCTGGTCACCCTAGTTCCAGCGTGCCTGAAGCAGCCTCAGAGATGCAAAACACTGTGGGGGGGAGGAGAGGGCAGGGCTGGGCATGCGTGCCTGTGTTGATCACCATCAGGGAATTGAGCTGGCCAACAAGCAAGAGAGACTCTGTCCCTCTTGCTTGATACTGTGGCTCCAGGGGTGTGGAGGAGGGTAGGTCTTTTTGTTATGCAGGAGGAAGGCTCTGTCCCCGAGGCAGAAATGTAGCAGCCTGCCTGCCTAGTAAAATGTCTGTAACTTCCTGAGAATTGAAGAAACACAATTAAATATTAGTATCGTGTTAATGAAAATTGTTTGTTTTTAAATTAAAGAAAATAGATTTTGTAGAAAAAACACATTTTGTTAATGTTGCTGTTGATGGTTAATTTATCTCATTTTCTGAGGCAGAAATGTAGCAGCCTATCTGCATAGTAATATTGTCAATGATCCTGTTGTTAAGTTAACTATTCCCATTCTCAGTCAATTTCCCCAAGAACATAAAACCTGTAAAAGTTTTAAGGCCTCTGCTTTGCCAGAGTGATGTAAAGCCTTATAAATGACAATAAGGGAATCAGCTAGGAAGATGTATGCGCTTTCTCACTTTTTTTCCTGTGCCAAAGTGGCACAATGGGGTTAGATTTTTACTTACTCATTTAAAAAAAAAAAAAGATGTTGAGGGCAAATAAAGCATTTACCAAGCAGTCAATAAAATGTCAGGACAATCAGAACAAAGCACTTCCCAAAGTACCCAGCCAGGTCCAGGACAATGATTAGCAAAACTGTATGACTTTCATGCATGGGTGGAGGGGTTGCATAGGCTGGGGAGGCTTTGCCTCCCCAAACAGTCAGGTGTGACCTCACCCTCTCCCGTGACCACTTGCTGTGTGCGGCTCCAGTCCCCCAATGCTCCGCTGGGGCTGGGGCTGCTAACCGCCCGCCTTCCCGTGCTCCAGAGCTGGGCAGGCTGCAGCCTGTGGCCACCTTCCCCCCTGAGCTGGGGAGGCTGGGGCTACCTGCCTTCCCGCGCTCCGGAGCTGGGGCCACATGTCACCTGCCCTCCTGGCGCTCCTTTGGGGTTGAGAGGCTCTAGCTATGGGACTAGGCCAGTGGCTGCATGGTGGGGAGGGGCAGCTCTGGACTCCGGTGAAAGGCGGGGCTTGGCTCTGGCGGGGGGGGGGGGGGGGGGGGAAGGGGTGGGGCTGAGGACTAGCCTCCCCCAGCCAGCAGTTCAGGCGCTGCCCATGCTTTCATGTGTAAAAGTCTGAGCAATTTAAAATGACATTCTACTTTTTTTTTTTTTTTTTGCTGTTTGGTGTTCTGTAATGTAATTTAAATGAAAATCCAGGATTAGGACTGGAATGCAGGGTATTAGTTAGTGTTTGTAACTTAACTTTCATGTGTTTAGGAAATTCTGAATAGTTAATGCGTCTTTTTTCTGTATTGTAGTTTAAATAATTTACCAAAACAAGTGATTATATTGCATTATTTTGACAAATTAAATTTGCAGAATTTTTATTTTTTAGGCTCAGAATCTCTCCCCCCTCCCCTCCTAGACAGAGGCCAGGGCTTGAGAGCGGGCTCCAGTGACCCCGACGGGCTCCCTCAGGCCCCTGAGGCAGTCACTTCTCACCTGTCACCAGAACAACTCCTTTGCGCACGCGTCTTGGCATGAACCTTATTATACCCCCCCTCTCGTCGCCAGGGAACTAAATGACAAGAGTAGAGTCCAATCGGAGATGGAGGATCCTCTGCGCCTCAGAGCCAATAGGGGTAGAGAGCAGTGATGGGCGTGTCTTGAAGGGAATACTGTTGCCTGCCCCGCGCCGTCTAACGGCCGCTGTTTAGCCGCTCCATGCGCGTGCTTGCGCATGGGGGTTAGGGGGGAAGGGGTTGGTGACACAAGCCCGACCCCCCCGCCCTCCGACTCCTACTCGCCGCGTTTTGCTCCCTGCTGCCGCCCCTCACGCCTCGCCCCTCCCCTTGGCCCGGTGCCTGCCCCTCCTCCCGGCCAGTGTGTCCCGCTGGCCGCCCTGGAGCCCAGTGTATGTGCGGCAACAACATGTCCGCGCCGCTCCCCGCCATCGTCCCGGCCGCCAGGAAAGCAACCGCCGCGGTGAGTCCGGGCCTACCGGCCCGGGGGAGCAGGGGTTGAGCGGCTCCGTCCTGGGGGTGAGGCGCGCGCGGTGTACGCTCTGGCCTGCGGGCCGTGCCCCGCTGTAACCGCCCGGGCCCCGTGTGCGCGCCCCTCGTGCTCCGGTCCCCTGTCCCTGCCCGCCTCCGGAAGCCCGGGCCGCGCCCCTGACTCGCTTCTGCCCCGGGAGAGCGGCGGAGATCCGCTGGCAAACTGCACTGTCCTGGCCGCGGCAGCTGGCAGGCGCGTGAAGAGGTGCGCTTGGTGTGATGTGTCCGCACGGCCCTGCCGCTGCCTCGTCCTGCTTGTCTTCTGCGGCGGGGTGCGGGGAAGTTCTACCCACGTGCAATGATATGAGGGGCTCTCTCTCCCTGCCACCTTCTGTCTTACCTTGCGAGCTGTGCGGTGTTACACTGGGTTTTTTGTTTGTTTGTTTCATTTACTGGAATTAACTTCAGATGTTGGATGAGATGAAGGTCGTTGATGTCATTTGACTTACAAGTGTCCCTAGTTGTCGTCTCTTAATAAATTGTATGTTTTGCAAGAAATTAAATATAACGAATTGCTAGACAATATCTGGAGTTACCCCCTTTAGTGAAAAGAAGGAGCAAGCAATCAAGATCTGTCGCAGACCTTACCTCCAAAATAAGAGAGAGATGACTAGAAGAAGCAAAATGATTTCTTTGATCTAATTTGGTTATTATGGCAGTAACCTAATAACCTAAGTTGCAGGGAGATGCTTTTAGGGAAGGAAATATGGGATAAAAATGCAGTGAGGGATTTTATTAGGGCTTGGAGAAACTTTTACCCAAAATAATGCTTGCGCTTGGTATTGCACAGATTTTATAGTATATAGTTTTGTAATAATTTACCAATGGTCATGGTGGCACTGCCCATTTAAAAATCAAGATTGGATGTTTTTCTAAACAAATATGCTCTAGGAATTATTTTGGGGAAGTTCTGTGGCCTGTGCTGTACAGGTGACCAGACTCATAATGGTCTCTTCTGGCCTTAGAATCTATGAATGTGTCACAGCTGTTTTTTTTCCTTAAAGAAAAAACAAACAAGGGAATTAGGCATGAAACAACTACTTTAACTCTTGCATTTTTTTATTTTTTTTTTAAATTTTAGGTCATATTTCTTCATGGATTGGGAGATACTGGGTAGGTATAATTGTTTACTGATGTGTATCTAACTTATCTTACAGTTTGAGATTTCTGGGTTTTAAGACATGAGTGGTTGTAACTCAGTTGCTGTTTCTCACAAATTAATTACACTGGCACTAGTTGCAGAGTTTATGACAAATGCTGAAGAGGTGGCCATGCTAGTTTTTAAAAACTCCCACAAAAACTACAAGCCAAAATACCTTTCTGTCTCTTTATTTAAGTGGTTTTGATGTAATACAAAAACTAAATCAGTTAAACCCTATTAAAAAATATTACCTACATCTGGGAGTAATCATTGAGTTGAACTAGCTGTCGTGTCCCCATTCTTCCCTAAAAGTTTGTGTGGGGGAAGCAGGAAAGCCCATTTGTAATTATTTTAAATTCAACTTGATAGTCACTTGTAAGCCTCATTCATGCAAAAATTTAAGCATATGCTTAGTCACCCAGCTCCGAAGACATAGTTGAGAGCGGCAGTGGCGGGCGGGGCACACAGCTCTAAAGGCAGCGCCACTGCCAGCAGCAGCACAGAAGTAAGGGTAACAATATACATCTGCAAAACTTGCTATATATGCTGTGACCAACCTGCAAAAAAATGTGATTTCTCTGTGATTTAAGTAGACCCCTATTTATAGTGAGTATGGTCATATGGTAAATGTTATCATTAGTGTTACCTGTTAATTGTCTGGTTCTTCCACTCCTTTTCTTGACACTAAATATTTAAGGAAGGATAGTAGGATTTGAAATGGGTCATTGAAAGAAACTGGGTGGTTTTATGGTCCTGGGGAAGAAAAAGATTGAGTTACTCTTCTAAAGACATCATACTTTTCAAACAAACCTGTTATTACCTTTTAGTTATCAAGTGAATATACGTTTAGTTAGTTAGTACCCATTATGCCTCTGGCGTTTAGGGCAGCGATGAAGCTCCTCCACTCCTGTCTGTTTCTGGCAAGTCTTTCAATGGTCCCCCAGCTGTGCCCCAGGTTTTTCAGCTTCCACAGCTCTTCACCATGTTGTTTTCGAGTGGCCTCGTTTTCGCTTGCCTTCAGGTGTCCATCTTAGTGCTATTCTGGTGATGGAATCAGTTTCCATCCAAAGCACATGGCCAATCCATCTCCAAGGCCTCCTGATAATGATGGTACTCATATTTTCTTGGCTGCATTGTATGAATAGGTTTTGGTTTGAGATTGTTCTGGGCCAAAAGATACGGAGGATTTTTCTGAGACAGGTTGTATGGAATGAATACAGTTTGGACATGTCCTACTTCGTCATTCCCCAGGATTAGAGCCCTGCACGGATACAAATTTATATCTGAGGATGCAAGTCAGTATCCGCGGAACCGCAGGACTCTCCTGGGAACTACAGCGGCGAAAGGAGCAGAACATGGGGCTGCCGCTCCTAGGAGCCAGCACTCCACGCTGGCAGCTGCTCCGGCCTGGCTATACTGCCCCCAGCCCTGCCTACTGGGGCAGGCACCCAGCTCACTGGCAGCTGTCCCTGGTCACACTCTTGTGTTCAAAGGGCATGCATGCCCCCAGACAGGAGACACAGACAGCTGTGTGGAAGGGACGGGGGTGGGGCTCTGGGCAGTACAACCACGCTAGAGGAGCTACCGATGCGTGGCGCTGGCTCCTGGGAATGGTGGCCCCGTGTTCTGCTTCTTTTGCCACTGCGGTTCCTGGGAGAGCCCTGCGGTTCCACCGATCACGGTTTATATCCATGAATATCTGCATTCGCGGATATAAATTTGTGTCTGTGTAGGGCTCTACCCAGTATTATGTACTACAAAGTAGTGTTGAAAGTATACAGCTCTGATCAATCTTAAATTTGGTTTTGGTGTTGTATTTTGATGATTTCCAGACTGTATTGAAGCTACATTAGACTATGTTCAATACATCCTTGCTTGTTTCCAAAATGTCTCATAGGTTTCAGATTGGAGTTTTTCTGGGGACTTGCAGCTCTTTTATTTTTGTTATATGTTTGTCACAGGAGTCAGAGTAGTCAGGTTCCTGTTTGTCATCATTGGAACAAAAGAAATATATACAGCTGCTATAAAGATTTCAGTATACACCTGTATATTTATGCCAAGTTTCTTTTTCAACATGGCAGTTCTGATGCCCAGTTGGAAAGAATCTCAAAATCCTTGCTTAATTAGTTCTCCTCAGACACAGTTTCTTTTTGACTTGTTAGTACTGCTAGTTTCCAAAATAAGGGGTTCGATACAGTAAGGAGAAAGTAGTAACTAAATGTTAATTCAAGTTTAAGTAGACTTAGGCTTTGGAGCCTATAGTGTGGAATCTGATTAGGTGGAAGGAATAGAGGAGACTTGAGGCTTTTATTTATGTGATCTTTCATCAAATGTTCAGTTCCTCAAGGGAACATGTGCACAGCCCTAATGGATTAGGGCTTTTGAGAGGGTTAAGACTTCAGAACATAAGAACGGCTATACTGGGTCAGACCAAAGGTCCATCAAGCCCAGTTTCCTGTCTACCGACAGTGGCCAATGCCAGGAGCCCCAGAGGGAGTGAACCTAATAGGTAATGATCAAGTGATCTCTCTCCTGCCATCCATCTCCACCCTCTGACAAAGAGAGGCTAGGGACACCATTCCTTACCCATCCTGGCTAATAGCCATTAATGGACTTAACCTCCATGAATTTATCTAGTTCTCTTTTAAACCCTGTTATAGGCCTAGCTTTCACAACCTCCTCAGGCAAGGAATTCCACAGGTTGACTGTGCGCTGTGTGAAGAACTTGCTTTTATTTGTTTTAAACCTGCTGCCCATTAATTTCATTTGGTGGCCCCTAGTTCTTATATTATGGGAACAAGTAAATAACTTTCCCTTACGCATGTTCTCTACACCACTCATGATTTTATATACCTCTATCATATCCCCCCCTTAGTCTCCTTTTTTCCAATATGAATTTTTATTTAGATCATTTCAATAAAGCTTTTTCTTCCAGTTAGAAGTACCATTGTGTATTCTATAGGCCTGATACAAAGCCTGATGAAGTCAGTGGGAATCTATCAATTTATGTAGCCTTCTGATCAGGCCCTACATTAATAACTCATTTTTTTACTTGTTTTAAAAATAAAAGTAATCATGGTGTTTTTAATATTTTTCCTATCCCAGCCAATTTAACAAACTTGTACTCATCTGCTTAAAAGTTAAGATCTTTCAGGGAAAATTGATTGCTGATTTTAAAAAAAATCTTTTTAGTAGTCATAGATTTAATATATACATTATAGTATGAGCAGCATATTTAATTAATTAATGGAGCTATCCTATCTCCTAGAACTGGAAGGGACCCTGAAGGGTCATCGAGTCCAGCCCCCTGCCTTCACTAGCAGGACCAAGTACTGACTTTGCCCCAGATCCCTAAGTGGCCCCCTCAAGGACTGAACTCACAACCCTGGGTTTAGCAGGCCAATGCTCAAACCACTGAGCTATGATAACTCTACAATTTCCCTCATGCATGAAAAAGCTGCTTCCAGCAATGACTGGTTTCTTTTATATATAACAGTCACTTATTCAGTATGTTAAGCATGCTCTGAAACATTGCTCCATTTTTTAAAAAAAAAGTAATTAGGCATTTGAAAACAAATTGCCTTAAGAGTTGAGCAGAATTTGTTCATCTTTGTTATACTGACTTTTACGTACTGATTAGAAATCTCTTGTAACTGGATAATAACTTTGCAATGGTTGTAGTCAATTAAATTTCTCTCTAACTTCTGTGCCTAGTGTAGGTCATAGGAACCTTGAAAAAAAATCTTCGCATTGAAGCTGGATGGGATTTTTTTTTTTTTTTTTATTGAAACTGACTTTTGAAATTTAAGTGTTAATAAACAGCACTCCTAGCTTTGGTTACTACCTGAAACAACAAAAATATACTTTCTGCTTCAAAAAACCTTTTCACCACCAACGTTACTTAATTTTTACCTTGTAAATTACTGTGAATGTTAACAAATCAGAAAATAATAGTGGTGGAACGTACATGTTTTGATGCATGTGGGATGATGCATTTTAAGATAGTGCCCTTTTTAGGCTAGGTTAGTTCAAAGGCAGCCTTAAGTGCTGCCTTTAGCACTTAGACTTAAGTGCTGAGGTGGTATGTACACCTCAAAGAATTAGTTACGGGTAAATAATACTACTTTTTGCCTCCTTTGCCACCAAGAGTCCAGTCATGCAAAGCCATACTCAGACATGTTATTCTGACTTCACTAAGACTACTACTTGCATGAATAAGTCTTTGTAGACTCAGCTCTTAAATCTTGTGTTCAGTTTTGCAAGCAGCCAGGCCAGCGTTCTGCAGTTTCCTGACTGACCAAGTCACCAATGGAGAATGATTGATTGATTGATTGATTAAGAGGTTTTATCCGTCAAATTACAAAATAAACCACACTGCTTCATAGAGGGAGTTTACTTTCTTCCCTTATCAAAACCTTTCCATTGTTTAATTATTTTTACTTTCACAGATATTGAGCTTCTGATTATATTTTCACCTCCCTTGGGGTTAGTTTTATTAAATTTAACATTGCAGGACTTGTGCTAATGAGCTCTGGGCTTACTAAATGAGCCCACAACATCCATGCCATCCTCTGGGTTTGTGATAGCTGGAGGAATAAGAAAGCTTTGAAACTCAGTGCTGTGTTCAGTATGCTGAACAACATGCAGCTCATCAAAAACTGAATTTTGTATTTTATATGCCAATTTTAAATGTAGAATTACTCTAATTTTTCACTGACCCTCATTGTGTGGAGGTGTTGAGGGGAAAGATATTTGGATTACTTGAATGCAAGGAAATTAATCTTTAATCTACTTGTTTTTGTTTTGAGTTACTGCAACCTTAGGTGTGTAGAATCATCCACTGTATGTAGACATATACATCTAGAGAGACAACAGTAGTTAGTTGGGAAATTTTGGGAAACAGTAGGAGTTTCAAATCTCCTAGCTACTTCAAGTTACTGTTCATGTGGCTTCCATATATGATGTGATTGTGTCCTTTGCACAGGAGTTCAGGAACTTCAATAGCGATGTCCAGCAGAGATTGTGCATGCACCTTTCATAAAGGGCAGCATATCCCTGCTCCCCCCTCAGCTCCTTCTAACTGCCCTTTGGCAGAGAGTCAAAACAGAGTAGCATCCGCTTTAGCTAGTTACTGTGTTTCTTAGTGTATGGTAATGTAGTTTCCTTGTTTGTTACTAATTTGACTGACTAATGTAATTAGCTAATTTCAAAAAAGTTTGAAAACAATTGAATTTGTGGCCTTGTCTATGTGTCTTTGAATAGATTGACACAGTAAATGTATCATTGACGGGCTTATAGCAAATGCTTTCTTAAAGAAACTACTGTTGGACAAGAAACTAATTTTCTTTAGATGGGTTTGCTACTTGTTATAAAGGACGGACTTCTCTTTTAACATTGGTAATGCATTTTGTTTTAGGTTCTTTTAGAAATGTCACCTGTAATGACATGACACTCCCTCTTATTTTAGCATTATTATGGCAACAGTGCTTAACTATTAAAGTTAACAGAATTAAACTAGCACATGAAAATGCTATTTAACATACTTTTCTCCAACAGACATGGCTGGGCAGAAGCATTTGCAGGTATCAGAAGTCCACATATAAAATATATTTGTCCACATGCGTAAGTATATAACTTCTTTTTTCATCTTTTTCACTCTTTTTTTATTTAGGAAGTTTTACAAATTTACAGTTCCTTGCCATGTAAATATCAAAAACAAAACAATCATTACAACAGTTGGCTTTTGTTTCAAGACATTATACAGGAATAATATATATTAATCAGATATTCCTGTTTAAGACAGTGTTACCATATTATAGAGTGAGCATCTTGAAAATACCTATGTTGTTTCTGGTTTTTCACTATTTTCTAATGCAAGGCTACTATGTAGATTATATTTTGTAAGGCCATTAGACAAATGTGAGAAGATGAAGTCAGTGAAATTTATGGGTACTCGTCACTTCGGTTGACTACTGGCTATCTGCTTACTGAAAAAGTGCAAATATATGGTTATTTAAAAAAAAAAAAGTTTTAAGTATTGATATGAATTACTTAAGCACCCCAAGTTTTGATTTATATTTTGCTTTGTTGCAAATAACTTAATCTGAGTGAATAAATAGAAAATTGGAAAATTGCTCAAATTCAACAACTAACTTCAATTTGACTATTTGTGTAAGTCTCTGCTTTCTGCAAGCTTTCAAATTGCCAAGTTTTTACTCAGCATGAATATTTATGAGAAGCTAATTTTAAGAATTGATATTTACTTATCTCTGAATTGTATGAACTCCTTTGTAATACAAAATGCACACTGTTGGTTATTCATGTAGTTAGTATAAAGGTTCTCAAACTTTGGTCTGTGGGCCACTGCTGTGTTCTGCAAAACCCTTTTTGGGGAGTCTGGAGAGATGGCAGTCATACAAAGCTGACCCTCCTGCTTATTTCCAGCAGCTAACTTGCATTAAAAGACAACTAAAATACTTGATAACAAGCATCGGGTACTCCTGGGGGGATTCTGTGCCAAAAAATTCAAAATTCTGCACCAAAGAAGTCTGCAAAATTCTGCATATTTTATTGTCAAAATAATGCAATATAATCAAACCAGTTTCAATTGTTTTGGTAATTTACTTAAACTACAGTACAGAAAAAAGTCACAATAACTATTCAGCGTTTCCTAAACACACAAAAGTTAAGTTACAAACACTTGGTACTAATATCCTGCATTCCAGTTCTAATCCTGGATTTTCATTTAAATTACATTACAGAACACCAAACAGCCAAAAAAACCCAAACAAAAAAAACATGGAATGTCATTTTAAATTGCTCAGACTTTCACACACGAGTCATACAGTTTTGTTAATCCAGGGGTGGGCAAACTACGGGCCCGCCAGCTGTTTTAATCCGGCACTCAAACTCCCGCTGGGGAGCGGGTTCTGGGGCTTGCCCCGCTCCAGCCGGGGAGCAGGGTCGGGGTCTGCTCTGCATGTCTCCCAGAAGTAGTGGCATATCCCCCCTCCAGGTCCTACATGTAGGGGCAGCCTGGGGGCTCCGTACGCTGCCCTGCCCCAAGTGCCACCCCCGCAGCTCCCATTGCCCGGGAAGCACCGGGGCGGTGCCTGTGGATGGGCAGTGTGCAGCAGAGCCACCTGGCCATGCCTCTGCATAGGAGCTGGAGTGGGGACATGCCGCTGCTTCTGGGAGCCGCTTGAGGTAAGCGCCACCGGAGCCTGCACCTCTGAGCCACTCCCCCACGCCCCAACCCCCTGCCCCAGCCCTGATCCCCCTCCCACCCTCCAAACCCCTCTGTCCCAGCCAGGAGCACCCTCCTGCACCCCAAACCCCTCATCCCCAGTCCCACCCCGAGCCCACACCTCCAGCCAGAGCCCTCTGCCCCAGCCTGGAGCCCTCTCCCGCACCCTGAACTCCTCATTTCTGGCCACACCCCAGAACCCACACCCCCAGCCAGACCCTTACCCCCTCCCACACTCCAACCCCAATTTTGTGAGCATTCATGGCCTCCCGTACTATTTCCATACCCAGATGTGGTCCTCGGACCAAAAAATTTGCTCACTCCTGTACTAATCATTGTCCTGGACCTGGCTGGGTACTTTAGGAAGTGCCTGGTTCTGATTGTCCAGACATTTTATTGACTGCTTGGTAAATGTTTTATTTGCCTTTAAAATCTTTTTTTTTAATAGGTAAGTAAAATAAATCCTGAGCTGTAATCTAACCCCATTGTGCCACTTTGGCACAGGAAAAAAGTGAGAAAGCACATAGATATTCCTATCTGAGGATTCCCTCACTGTCATTTATAATAAGGCTCCTTTACATCACTCTGGCAACGTAGGGGCCTTAAAACTTTCACAGGTTTTATGCTCGTGGGGGAATTGACTGAGGATGGGAACAGTTAACTAACAATAGGAACATTAACAACATTACTACACAGTCAGGCTGCTACATTTGTGCTTCAGAGAATGAGATCAATTAGCTAACAGGCAGACTGCTACATTTCTGCCTCTAGCCTGCCTCGTGCATAATAAAAAGCCATACCCTTCCACGCCAGTGAGCTGCAGTGGCAAGCGAGAGACAGACTTTCTTTCTCTCTGTCCCTTGTTGGCATGCACGCACGCCCAGCCCCCTCCCCCACCCGACGGTGATCGACCACACAGGCACGCACGCCCAGCCTCTCTCCCCCATCTCTGAGACTGCTTCAGATGTCCAGATGTGCTGCCTGGGCTGCCAGGGAACAGGCGTGTGTCCCCTGGCAGATTTTTTGTGTGTGTGTTTTTCTGTGGGAGGCACAGAAAAAAAAAATGCAGGTCATATAAATTTTGCGCAGAATTCGCTTAGGAGTAACAGGACTCTACCTAGTAAACAAGGCATTAAATTATAGCTGGCATCTCTTTAACACTTAAAATCAGGGTGAGTAAAAGACCAATCTTGGTCTATTTTAAGAGAAACTCAGATTGTCAGTCCATCCTATGACTTAACTGTTCTTTCTGGGAAGAAGAGCATCTTGCCTCATTAGGGCAAAAGTAGTAGAGAGGCATCCCATGTTGCAATAAGCAGCAGCAGTCTTGAGAGATCTGTAGCAAGGTTGGTGTGGCAAGGGTGAACACTGTTGTGGAGTTCAGCATCTGGTTTCTATATAATAAAGCCAACCCCTTGAACTACTCTGCGGACCCATCTGAATGATAGCCCAGCACTCTCTGGACTCACTTTCCTGCTGGCCCTTTGCTCTTTTATTTTAAAATGTGATAGCTGTGTTTCCTGGTCCACATTCAGCACCTCTTGCAAACAGTTCATCTCCTACTTTCAGTGCAGTAGAGAGAGAAACCTGTGGATTGAAGTAAAGATGTTTCCGTTTCTCACCTGGCAAAGCAGAGTATAGCATGGAAGTGATCAGAGGCAGGGGGGCACCTAAGGGTACATCTGCACCTACAGTGGCAAACTTAGAACCCATAGTTCATCATGGTTTCACTGTCAGTGGTGTTGGAAATAGTGGAAGCTGTAGCATAGGCAAGATCTAAGTGTTTTTGCCACTGTCATAGACCACATGGTGGTCTCAGCCATGCTTCTTTGCCTTTCCCATTCTTTAGTGGCTAGCTTTCCCCCCCCCCCCCAGAGGAGGGGAAAGAATGGGAGGTACTTATCTCTTTATCTTCCCATGCTCTCAGAATTTTAGCAGGTGGTGGGGTGAGGTGCAGCACGGCACAGAAGAGCACAATTGGATGAGGGGGAATCAATTTACCCAAAATTATAATAAAACATATGGCAGTTTTTATTATCAGATCAGATCATTGGGCTATCTATAATAGCCTCCTCTGTCTGACAGTTGCCACTACCACATTATTCAGAGGAATGTGGAAGAAATCACATAATGGACAATTAAGATGTAATCTGCACACTGGAAGTTTCTTCTTAAATTGTTAGCAGCTGGCTTATTTCCTGAAACATAGGTGTCTATGTCCTTTGCAAACACTTGTATAATCTGTCTGAAACAACTGTTTTCTCATGCATATAAATGACTAATTCAGCACTTGGCCTTGACACATTGTGACAATTAAGTCCACTGCTAAATTATGCAGTGCGTGGTTTTAAAAAAAAAAAAATCTGACCAGTATCATCCTCATCAGTTTTAAATTTGATGCCTTTCAATTTCATCAGTGTCCCTGGTCGTTTTTGAGGTGGCCTCTACATATTGCCAATGGGGTGCTCCTATTGTGGTTCCGAGCTTTGGAAACTTTATGGAAACCAGTACATCATAAGTACTTCATGTGAAATTGAACTTTTGGACCCAAGTTTGTAAAAGCATGTGTCCCTAATTTCTTGCTTTATTTGGACAGTTTGAGATGTGAGGACATTATTTTCCATGCCCAGAGAGACTTTTGGGTTTCATATCCAAGACTCTCTTCATTTCTAGGTTAGTGTTGTATTATAGTTAGTTTTTTCTTCTGGGCGCTTTGCTGTTAGCCAAACAGGCTTCCAGGGGGTTGATAAAGAATGGGATTTAAACTTTGTGCATTGTGCTTCTCCATGTAAACCGGAGGTGGATATATACACCAGCTCTCTTTTAGGCTGGGCAAGCCCACTCCTCATACTACTGTTTGGAAGTAGGACCTTAACACATAATTCCTGCACCAATTGGCAGCAGAGGCCCTGGGCCTTAGCTGATGAGTCCTCAGTATCCAATCCTTGGATCTGATCTATGATTGGCTATCTACCCTTGCACTGGAAGAGAGTATGCTGCCAGGCAAGTCAGATGGAGAATTCTGTACCAGATGGGAGTTGGTGGCTTGCTTACTCTTACAGGCAACAAGATTTCATTGAGTCCAAGAATTGAGCTTTTTGGTGCTAGAATTTCATTAATAGTTATGCTGATTTTGGCTTCTAAGGAACTCTTTGGTCTATGTCTTTGTTCAATGGCTGGAGATTGCTAGGTGTCTAAAAAACCTGGTACTAATCAAGCATCTATTGACCTATTGAGGCTGGAGAATTTCTTGGCACCAAAAAGGTTTGTATTCTTGGAACAGACTTTTGCAGCTGCTCCCTTGCTATTGCTGAAGTTTTCTCCTGGAGGAGGACCATCAGTTTGTGTTCAAGTAAGTGAATCCACCTGCCATCTCAGCTTGTCTCTCAGGTGCCGCACTATTGCAGCCCAGACCTTTCAGGTATCCTAACTTCTTCCTGTGGGTCAGAGAACCAGTTCCTTGATGGGATCTTAATTTGTTATTAACAAGGCTGATGGACTCATGTTTGAGCCCTTAAAATGGGACTCTTCTTTTTACAAAAGACAGCATGACTACCTCTATGAGAAGAGAGTTGCACAAGTTTTAATAATTTATCCTATTTTCACCATATTCTTCAGAGATAGTCTTCTTACAAATTCATTTCAAATATATAGAAAAAATTGAGATTTCTGTTTGAATCAGACAATCTCATAGTTCTTTCCAAAACTTCATTATTTTCTGGAGGAAACAAGGCTCCACACCCCCCATGTACAGGGGTTTTGAGGGTTTTTTTTTTTTTTTTTATATATAGTTAGAACCGAAGACTTTAAGAAGTTAGCAAGACTTCTTGTAGCATAAAGAAAATGCCATTTCCACTTTAGGAGTTGCAAAGTGGAACAGGTTGTACAATGAGACCTGTTATGACTCAGCTAGGGTGAGAGTGCCTCAGGGTCTTAAAACTCAATCTGTTACGACAAAAGTATCAATGATGTGCCTTCATAATGTTTCCATCGTAAACTACTAGCAGGGCTACTATGTGGATTTCTGTACATCCATTTATACATCACTGCTCTCAAATTGGTATCTAGATCTGATGTTTGCTTTGGGAGACTGAATCTGTAGAGCCCTTCACGGATACAAAATTTGTATCCGCATCCAATCCGCAAAAATGATCCGTGGATATCCGCATTTGCAAGGCTCTATGAATATTTTTAATTAGAACTCTTAAATTACTTTTCTGGGGGTTCTGCTGTTTGCTAGACTCCCATAAGTCTGAATGAGCAGAGGCCAATTGAAGAATAGTTACTTGTGCTAATACACCTCTACCCCGATATAACGCGACCCGATATAACATGAATTTGGATATAACACGGTAAAGCAGTGTTCCGGGGGGGCGGGGCTGCGCACTCCGGTGGATCAAAGCAAGTACAATATAACGCGGTTTCACCTATAACGCGGTAAGATTTTTTTGGCTCCCGAGGACAGCGTTGTATCGAGGTAGAGGTGTAATTGTGGTTCTTTGACATTGTTGCCTCTGAATATCTGCTCTACGTGGCCATTCTTTTCATGAGAGCATATAGCCAATTTTTCTTCTGTACCATTCGTATGCTTCTATTGTCTGTGCTTTTCATAGTCTCTCAGGGTTTTCATTCTGTTCTTAAGGAAATCAACTAATTATTTTAATCTGTTGCCTCAAAACCTATTGTAGTTCTGCTAAAAGACCAAAATTGGTCTAACTCATGTTTACCTTCAGTTTTAAAAATGAGAGAGCTGACACTGGTCATGCTTTAGAAATGGGATGAAAATATAGGAAACATCTAGCTTTACAACTTAACGTGAAATCTTGCAGTGATGCAGAAATAGTTATCTGATGTGTGGTGTTATGTCAACAAACCTTTATATTGAATTATACCAATATTATTTTTCAATTTCTAGGCCAGTTATGCCAGTTTCTCTGAACATGAATATGGCCATGCCATCTTGGTAAGTACTTTCTGAATTAGAAATAATCATATATAAAGTCATAAGTGTTTATATTGATTGGACTTAACTCAAGGATGAGCTTGAATTGCTAGTTTTAATCAACTGTAAATGCAGAACAAATGTTCTAACAAAGGTTTCTCGTTAATAGTGTCAAACTGTCTCATCAGAAGCAAAAAAGAAATACTAGCTCTGAGAAGAAAGAAAAGTCATCAGACAGGGAAAAAGCAACTTTTAAAATTGAAAACATCAAATGTATAATATACATAATAGTCTTAAATCTGCTTGAAAGTTTGTATTCTTTGTGTGCTTGTTTACTTATGTTCCACTTCTGGTGTGCGTGTGCCTCATGTGCTGTAGCTGGGAATGCTTTAGTCAGCTATATCTTTTGGTCGTACCTGTTCCTTTGATGACCTTGAGCCCTGCTCCCCGAGGGTAGAACGGGGGTGGAACAACCAACTGACATTGATTTCCTTTCAGCTGCTCCTGGCTATGAGGTGGACCCAAATAGCAGTGTCCCCACTCCCTTTTTCAGTCACCTATTTTATTAGGATTGTGTAAATAGTTATTTAGACTAGGTATTTAGTGTAGTGTTTTTAGTAATTTTAGCTTTGTTTAGATTTATTTTCTGCCCTTTAAAGGGAGGGTCTGATATTTTGTCAGGACAGAAACCCCGGGCTTTACATTTTGAGTCCTGTGGGGCTGGTACGCCCATGTATGACACATATTTAAGTTGTCTTTACTTTTTAGGTTCCGAATATGTAAAAGAAAAACATAAGGATTGTAATACCCTCGCCAAGAGGGCAGCTACATCTAGGACAACAGGATGAAGTTATTCCTTTTTGAGAAAAATATGAGGCTGGTCTCTGAAGCAGGTGGAATATAGAATCCCCCAGTCTGGGACAATCCTCAGTGAAAAATGTCCTGGTAACTGCCTTAACCTCCAGGGGTCTGACTGCTTTTGTGTCGGCAGCTGCGAGCAGTAACAGGTATCACTCTTCTCAGGAGTGCAGAGGAAGATCTCACAAAGAAAGAGGTTTGGCTCACTCCCTGCTGTCTCTGGGATGAAGGGATCTCTGAAAGCAGCTCCTCATACATCAGTTTGGCAGGAGGTAGCTGAGAAAGCCTCACCGGTGTCTGTTAGCACTGGAGCAGAGCTTTCTGCTGGCTGCTGTCAGTCTGCTGCTGTCATCATCTGCTTTGGGTGCTGGGTCAGCTCTTTCATCTGTCTTCAGCACCAGTCCATTCTGAGCATGTTTCTCCAGTGCAGGACAACTCTCTTGGCTGTCTGCAGCATGGGCTCATTCTGAGCATGCTGCTCTGGCACTGATTCAGTTACAGCCCCTTGCAGTGCTGACTTCCTCAGGTGGCCTGAGAGAAGCAGCTGTCTGTGCCTGTTCATTCGGAGCCTGACTGCCCCTTAGTAAATGTTTTGTCAATCGGGATGCTTTCTAAGTCACCTGGGGGTTATTGTGGTAAGCCCCATCAGTGGGTATTTCTCCAAATCCCTCATGAGCAGCACCCCATCCTCTTCTTCTAAGAGGATGGGTATTCCTTTTCTGATAATGGGGATGTTTTACCCTCTTACCCTTTGGGAGTAACTTTTTATGACTCATATGTTTGAGAGTCAGGTCATACATAGGGTAAATATACAGGCATGTTAGTTCAGAAGCCTCTAGGTAGTACCCCCTGCCCTGGCCACATTCACTTCATCCATGTGGACCAATTGCTTCACTTCACTGGTGCCATATCCTAAATCAAAACTTTCCTCAGCTTCGATTTCCAGGGTTAGATATCTTTTACCCAAGGATCCACGCGTCATGCAAAAGCAATCACAGTGATCTTGTACATATTGTTGAACCAGACTCTTCTCCACATCAGACTCTAAATGAACATGTACTTCTGCAACAAGTTTCTGAAACTATCCTAGAGCATATTCCATCCACGTCTTCACAGCTTGAACATATGGCTCCTCTTGAGGCATTGTCATTAGATAAGTCATTTCAGGAATTGGTCCACAGAATGACAGAAACTTTGGCGATCCCAGCTCAGACTGTTCAACAAAATGGACATCTATTGGACATTTTGCATATTTCTCTACTGGATATACACTTTCCTTACCTTTAAATGAGGGCTTGTTAGAACCAATCTAGCTATTGTGGCAGACTAGCATCTATCGCCAACCTGTAAGATAGCTGAAAAAAGGTGTTAAGTCCCTTTGATAGGGTTTGAATATTTCTAAATGCATCTTGTTCAGGGTCTTTGGCACAGCTCAAGAGAAGTTGAAACATCAGTCTTTTAGAACTACTCCAAAGGAGAACAGGAAAAGAGTGGACCTCTTAGTAAAGAAGAGTTATTTGTTAGCTAGTCTTCAACTTCTCATAGTGAATTATCAGGTCCTTCTATCATGTTATGATTACCTTATGTAGAGCAAAGTTGCTGAAGATTTTGATAAACCTTTGTTAGACATCAGAGAGAAATTTAAATCTCTGTCTATGGAGGGTCAATTAATAGTTAAAACCCTCTTCACAAGCTTCCAGTCATGCTGCTAATGCAGCATCAAAGTCCATGGCGGCAGCAATTAGGCAGCTTGTCATGCCTTCAGCATTCTGGGTTTCCAAACAAGATTCAGATTACACTGGAAGACCCTCCTTTGAAGGGAATCATCTGTTCTGTTCTAAAACTGACAAGTTGTTACATTGAAGGACTGTCTCGTACCATGTCACACATTAGGCAGCTATGCTTCCCGTTACAAGAAGCAGTCTTGATATCATACTCAAGCAAAACAGACTGTCACTACTCTATCATCTTTATCAGAGAACATCAGATTTCTCTAAGAAGAAACCATATATACATAGGAGGAAACCTTCATCGACTTCAAATGCTGCGAAGGCTGGCTCAATAGTAATTTTGATGTGTATATCGAGAGCTGCCAACCAATCTTAGAGGATCTTTATACCTTCCCTACCCCCTTTGGGTACCGTTTACATTATTTTAGGGAACATGGAACAGTATCACCAGCAACAGGTGGAGTACTGGAAATAATTCCAAAGATTACTCTATTCAATTCCAAGACGTTTCCACCCCCAACTCATCTTCCCCATCTCTTTTTAGGGACTCCGCTCATGAGAGTCTCCTTCAACAACAGGGTCCGTTTCTTTTGGCTCTTTGTGATATAAAGGAGATTTTGACCCACAGTTGGGGGGAAAGGGTTCTATTTGTGATATTTTTCTAGTCCCCCCCCCAAATTGGGAGATTGGTGTCCAACATTGAAACTGAGATCTGCATTTCTTTGTTTGCCAGTTCAAATTCCTACTGGTAACACTGTCCTTCTCACTTCCTTCCCCAGATCTTCTAGATTGGTTTGCAGCTCCAGATCTACAAAATGCGTATTTCCATACAGCACATAGGAAATACCTGTGCTTTGTAGCGGGCAACACATTACCAGTACAAAATGCTGCCTTTTGGTTTGTTTATGGCCCCGAGAACTTTCACTAAATTGTCTGGCCATGGTAGCAGCACATTGCAGAAAGAGAAATATGTTTTTACCCATATCTTAGTGATTGTTTGGCGAGAGGATTGTTTTCAGACAGGTGATAAACAGCGTTCAGTATGTCATATGTCTGTGCACAGTGGAGTTGAGTGTGAACGTGAAAGTCTCATTTAATCCAACACAAAAGGTAGACTTTATTGGGGCGCTAATCGATTCCATGACGGTTACGCATACCTGCTGCAGACCAAGTTTGACACCATACTAGAGAGGATAAATCAAGTGGGAAACAATCCATGTACCACAGCAAGGACATGTCTTCGGCTTTTAGGTCACACAGTTTCATGTATTCTGACTCCATTCAGCAGACTGCATCCTTATTGTCGTCAGGGGTGGTTATGGATAGCTTATTGCCTGGCTGTTCACAAAATAGATATAGGAGTATGCATCCCTCAAGAAGTTTTGAACTCCCTTATTGAAAGATCCACATCAGGTCTGCAAAGGAATTCTGTTCTCCCTAGCGCTTCCCACAAAGTCAACAGTGACCGATGCTTTGTTGTTCGGTTGAGGAGCCCATCTTGACAACTTGACAGTACAGGGTCAGTGGTGTCAGAGAGGGTTGGCTTCATATAAGTGTCCTACAACTCAGACTGACACAGCTTGTCTGCATGTCCTTTCTATTTCATAACAACATTCAGAGTTGACAAAAAGAACATGGTGTTATTGTCAGTTCTTACATAAACAAGGAGGAACCAGATCAATGCTCTCATGCAGGAAAGCAATCCTTCTATGGAATCTGAAGGCAAAATATACAGCTATCTGCACCTTTATCTTCCAGTCCTACACAACACGCCAACAGACATCTAAATAGGCATTTTTCTCAGAATCACTTATGGTTCATAAAGGATTCTGTCATGAATGGGGTGCTCCCCTTATGGATCTGTTTGCAACTGAACAGAACAAGAAATGCGAAGGCAGTACTGGTTCACGGTAATAAGAAATCTCTTGGTAACACCTTCAGTACCTCTGTCTCTTCTACCAGACTTAATTACCCAGAACAATGGGACAACTATTCATTCAGATATATCATCACTACACTTCATAAAATGGAAACTGTCGGGTAACAGAGTTGAATAATTGTTCTTAATTGCCATACAGCTTGTTCATCCTTCAGTTTAAAAGTTTTTGTGAAAGGTTTAAGGGGATTTCTTTTTATTAAAACAGTTCCCTCCATGTTGGAAATTTAATGTGTTATTTACCAGCCTGATGGGGACATCCATTTGAACCATTAGCCTTGTGCTCGTTATTCCATTTGTCTGAAGACTGAATTCCTTTTTGCAATCACATTGACACTCAAGGTCTGAATTGCAAGCTGTCATGCCAGGACCGCAGTATATGACTTTTCACAGGGATAAAGTTACACGTTAGCCTCACCCTACATCTCTACTCAGAGTAATCCCTTAATTTTCATTTAAATAAGCCCATTCATTTAAACGTGTTTCTCCCTTCCCCCCACCCCCCGCTTCATTCATCCAAGGGCAAGGCTGTGTTTCAGTTTTTGGATGTCCTCTATGCTTCCTCCTTTTATTTAACTCCAACAAGACCATTAAGGCACTCCCATAGTCTGTCTGTCAAGAGCTCCAGGTTTCAGGCAGTCTCAACTCAAAGAACCTCTAATTGGGTGTGACACTGCATAAAGTTACTTTATGGGGTGGTCCATTTAGAACTCAGGTCATGTTAGCTCATATTCTACCACAGACCACTTCTGGAACCTCTTTTAGGGAGAATACCCATAGCTGATATATGTAGAGCTTCTATTTGGAGTATTATACATACATTCCCTAGTGATTACTCTTTCATTCAGGTACCTTGTTCAGATGCCCCATTTGAGAGGGCTATGTTGCAGTCTTTATTTTATTAGAGGAGAGCACTAGAGTTTATTTATTATATACTGTTTGGGAGTCACCAGAAGTAGAACACACACAAACAAGCAGTCAAACTAGAAAGGATAGTTACTTACCTTTAGTAACAGGAGTTCTTTGAGATATGTTTACATGTGTTCCATGATCCACCTTCCTTTCCCCACTACTGCCAAGTCTAATAGACTGGGCTTGAGAGTGGCATGGGAAGTGAGGTTTGGTTGTTTGCCCCCTTTCTGTACTGGGGGGAGGAGACAGGGCTTGAGGTCATCAAAGGAGTAGATGCCGCCAATGGACCTTGCTGATTAAAATGTTCCAATCTCCAGCACATGGAGTGCATACACATCAGAAATGGAACACATGTAAACACCACAGCTCATACTCCAGTTACTAAAAGTAAGTAATTTTCCTTTAATTATTTGTTGTGAAAACAGGAACAAAAATTCCTGGAATTATTATTTACTACTAGTCATGGGTGGTATTGTTTTGTGGACAATTAACTATTTAAACTTTACAAAAAAGTGGTCTCTGATTTCTTTTAGACTGGAAGCTCCAATAGAAAATCGTGTTGAAATCCATATTTTTTTACTTTAAAGTGAGGATGTGAAATGTTATGTAAATCTTCCCTCTCGATTTTTTTTCTTCAATTTTTTTTTAGCTTTTCTATATTAGCTGAAAGAATTGTTTAATTCTCAGCATATGCCTGCTAATATTTGGACAAAAATATTACAAAGAATATATTGCCTGCCTCTTAAATATCAAAATACTGAACTGTTTTATTTTGACAAGGTAGAAGAGGGCAAAATTCGTAGAGATTATAGTTCGTTGAGAAGTTGAAGTTTTTTTTTTTAATTCCCACTAAAAGATTTCTCAATGTGTTTAGTATAGATGACCGGTGCAGCTACTATATAGTGCAGCAACTGAAATAAAAATTATATAGTTGAGCATCTAATTCCTTGTGCCATAAACCATTAGATTAAAGAAAAGAAATATGCTTAAACTCTTAAAGATCAGTCATTTCTGAGCTCTCATATGTGAGTACTTGCATAACTACTGTTTACAAGGTGTAAACTGATTGAGCCTATAGCTTAACACAAGGTTGAGCCTATTCTTAATAATGATCTGTAGGATAATAAAACATCAAAGTGTGGAAAAAGTGATCATTAGTACATCTTCTCATTACTGTTTGTATGATTATGTCAGTGTACAAAGGTGTGTTAGTTCCCTAGTGAATAAACGTTATCTAATTGTGTTCTTTTTCTTTTAAGGTTTGATATTATTGGACTCTCTCCAGACGCACAGGAAGATGAAGCTGGGATCAAGCAGGCAGCAGAGCATGGTACATTTATGAGTATTTTTAATGTATCTTCCAATTTTTTTAAATGAGTGTTTCCCAGATGATATATATATATATATAATGTATAAAATATGTGTATGTATATGAAACGGTTCCTTCATTTCAGCTGTTTTCTCATTAGCCAAGTTAGAAACTGACATTAAAATGACGATTTAAAATGGTAAAGTCTCTGATAGTATATTGTCTGTTTGTTAACTAAATGATTTTAAGTTTCTTACATTGTGTGGGTGAATTTAGTGGCTCATTGATCAGTCTTTGTATTCCCACATGTCAGATGCATTCCTATCACCCACTAAATTAGAAACCTTCTAGAAAATACAGCCCACTGAAGCCACGCAAGCATGCTTATGACACCAAATGCTCAAAAGTCACCACCCATTATGCACTGGGACTTTTGTGTGACCCTGACCCAACAGTTTCTATTTTGGTACCAGCACTTCTGGCCTTGCATGAACTGCTGGTGTCTATAGCACCAGAATTCTTGACCCTAGTCTCAGAACTTTTGGTCCAGAGTGTTTTGCTTGGGCAATACTCCATCAACTTCCCATCTGCCAGCTTTCCCTTGACACAGGGGAGATTAATACTGCCTTTTACCACCTATACCACCTCCTCTTCTGAACTCCCCTCGGAAATGCTACATATTAACTAATGGACTTCATTTGACTTGCAGTTAAAGTACTGATAGATCAGGAAGTGAAGAATGGAATTCCTTCTAACAGAATAATTTTGGGAGGCTTTTCTCAGGTAAGGTACTTGTCAGGAAGGGAGTTTCAGTTTCTTTGTTGGAGGGAAGTTGAAGTTATCTCCTTGGAACTGGGAAATCCTGTTAACGAGCAGATGATGCTAGTCATTTCTGAAAATAAGGCCTTTAGTTTCGACTTACTTCCAAAAGGCCACAAAAGTAATTCTTTTCCGACTCTAAAAATCGACTTAGTGAAAAATGACTTTACATACTACAAAACTGCTATAAAGTAATATTAAAATAAGTTTAAGAAGAATAGTAACTTCAGGGGTTAGTTCTAAAATTTCCATGTCATTTTGATTCTGTAAGGCATCTGCTTTTTGTATTCCAAAATGCAGAAATAATCAGAGTCTGAATTTTATGTAGGTAATAGAAGATCTGAACTTCAGAAGGAAGGAATTATTATTTTCTGAATGAGTTGTCAAAGGTCTGCGGTAGACGTTTTGTCTTGTGATAAACTGGTTAATAAGAATATACAAAAACTAATGTGAACAAAGCTACTATTCTGCTTTTCCTTTTCATTTGCCTTCAGATGCTAACAGGTAGAGGAATGAAAGTGTTAACTACTGTCATGTACCTTATTGCATTATATGGTTTTAAAGTGGCTGTTGTCAGACAAATGACTAGGAAAGAGAGAACTGTCATTATGGGAAGTGAAATTTTCTTTTGGCTTGCGTATCATCAAGGGAGTTAAACAAATTTGTTCTGTAGTCTCCTTTTAAAACAACAACAAAAATGATGTTACCACGAGTCTGGAAGAATACAAGATTTTAGATTTAGTTTGTAATTATCAGTTAGAACAGTGCTGTCATTTTACTTGTAAACTGAACAAATTTGATCTAGAATAATTGAAACACAATAAGGATGGAGTCACCTGATGATTTTTAGAAGTACTTTTCAGATCCATCAGTTGAAATTGGAAAATATTGTTTGTAAATATAAGGGGCCACAAATCCTGAAGTAATGGTGATAACTGTTTAATTTAAATGTTTAACTTCACCATTGTAATAGTTTTTATATTTCTTGATTAGGGAGGTGCCTTGTCATTGTATACAGCTCTTACAACACATCAGAAATTAGCAGGAGTCATAGCACTCAGTAGTTGGCTTCCACTACGAACCTCTTTTCCACAGGTATTTGTACTACTTTCTTAAACATAACTCAGTCTTCAGTGAGCTAATTGAAGTTGAACATTTGAACATATTTTTTCACTTTCATTACACTGTATCCACAGACTAACACTTCCCCCCCCCCCATCCCCCACTAGATAGAAATTGCGTACGTTAATTAGGTAAACAATTCTTTAAATATGTCCATAAATTAAGGCTTTGTCTACACCAGCACTTTAGTTGGCAAAACTTTTGTCGCTCAGGGGTGTGAAAAACGCACCCCTGACTGATGTAAGTTTTAAAGATAAAAGTGCCAGTGTGGACAATGCTATGTCTGCGGGAGAGCTCTCCTGCCGGCATATAGCAGCTACTTACAGCGGTGCAGCAGCAGTACAGCTGTGCCACTGTAAGGTCTATAGTACAATAACTCCTCACTTAAAGTCGTCCCGGTTAACGTTGTTTAGTTGTTACGTCGTTGATCTATTAGGGAACAAGCTTGTTTAAAGTTGCGCTATGCTCCCTTATAACATCGTTTGGCAGCTGCCTGCTTTGTCCATTGCTTGCAGGATTCTCTGGAAGAGCAGCCCCTCCTTGTGGGGATTAGAACTGGGGTGTGGGGACCAGCAGCTCCCCCCCCATTCAGCTCCCATAAATTCCCTGTAAGGTATGTGGCTCACCAGCTGCCCAGCAGCAGTTCAGCTGTCCCTCCCCCCACTGCCGTGCTGCTCCTGCCCTGTCCTCTGTCTTGGAGCTGCTCCCTGGAGCTTCCTGCTTGCTGGGGGAAGAGGGGAGGGGGTGCTGATATCAGGATGTCCCTCTGCCCCCCGCTCCTAACCCCTCTCCAGAAAGCGGAGGAGGGGGACAGGCTCAGGGAAAGAAAGGAAGGAGCTTGCTGGAAGCTGTTGCTTCCCGTCTGAACTGGCTGATGTGCTTAAAAGAGCAACGTACTTGAAGTGGGGTCAGCGTACTTACAGGGGCAATGCACGTCTCTCTCTCTCACTCACTCACTCATGCACACACACCCCAGCACTTTGGAAAGTCAGCACCTGTGCAGCCCTGCATGTGCTGTCAGGAGAAGGCAGTGGTGCACTCCAGCTGGATAGCATGGGGTGCTCATCATGTTCAGGGAAGTGTTTGCAGCTACTGCCCTGCATCTGTTGTGTTTCCGCCCTCCTGCCTCAGTCCATGCTGCCTTGTCGAGTGTGAGGCTACATTAATAACAGTGTATTAACCCTTGAGGGCTCAGCCGAGTGCTAGTTCATCATTTAGCAGCAAGGCATTCCCTGGGAAATATCCCACCCCCTGACTCCACCACCTCAACCAAGCTTCACAATCATTCATTGCTGTGTACAATATTAAACTGTTTAAAATTGTTTAAAACTTATACTCTATATGTATATAATGTCTTTTGTCTGGCGAAAAAAATTTCCCTGGAACCTAACCTCCCCCCCATTTACATTAATTCTTATGGGGAAATTGTATTCGCTTAACATCGTTTTGCATAAAGTCGCATTTTTCAGTAACATAACTACAACGTTAAATGAGGAATCATAGGGTTGGAAGGGACCTCAGGAGGTCATCTAATCCAACCCCATGCTCAAAAGCAGGACCTAATCCCCAACAAAATCATCCCAGCCAGGGCTTTGTCAAGCCTGACCTTAAAAACCTCTAAGGAAGGAGATTCCACCACCTCCCTAGGTAACCCATTCCAGTGCTTCACCACCCTCCTAGTGAAAAAGTTTTTCCTAATATCCAACCTAAACCTCCCCCACTGCAACTTGAGACCATTACTCCTTGTTCTATCATCTGGTACCACTGAGAACAGTCTAGATCCATCCTCTTTGGAACCCCCTTTCAGGTAGTTGAAAGCAGGTATCAAATCCCCCCTCATTCTTCTTTTCTGCAGACTAAAACAATCCCAGTTCCCTCAGCCTCTCCTCATAAGTCATATGCTCCAGCCCCCTAATCATTTTTGTTGCCCTCTGCTGGACTCTTTCCAGTTTTTCCACATCCTTCTTGTAGTGTGAGGCCCAAAACTGGACACAGTACTCCAGATGAGGCCTCACCAATGCCGAATAGAGGGGATCACATCCCTCGATCCTACTTATACAGCCCAAAATGTCGTTAGCTTTCTTGGCAACAAGGGCACACTGAGTCATATCCAGCTTCTCATCCACTGTAACCCCTAGGTCCTTTTCTGCAGAACTGCAGAACTCGGTCCCTAGTCTGTAGCAGTGCCTGGGATTCTTCCTTCCTAAGTTCAGGACTCTGCACTTGTTGAACCTCATCAGATTTCTTTTGGCCCAATCTTCTAATTTGTCTAGGTCCCTCTGTATCGTATCCCTACCCTCCAGCGTATCTACCATTCCTCCCAGTTTAGTGTCATCTGCAAACTTGCTGAGGGTGCAATCCACACCATCCTCCAGATCATAATAAAGATATTGAACAAAACCCGCTCCAGGACTGACCCTTGGGGCACTCCGCTTGATACCGGCTGCCAACTAGACATGGGGCCATTGATCACTACCCATTGAGCCCAACGATCTAGCCAGCTTTCTATCCACTTTATAGTCCATTCATCCAGCCCATAACTCTGTAACTTGCTGGCAAGAATACTGTGGGAGACTTTATCAAAAGCTTTGCTAAAGTCAAGGAATAACACGTCCACTGCTTTCCCCTCCTCCACAGAGTCAGTTATCTCATCATAGAAGGCAATTAGGTTAGTCAGGCATGTCTTGCCCTTGGTGAATCCATGCTGAGTTACTGTATAGACATAGCTAAAGAAAGTGGTGCTATCAGACAACTGAGGCATCATGTGAAGTCTAGTCCTTTGTCAAAGCTATTGTTAGGCGTTGGTGCCTTTGCTCTGTTATTGAAGCTAACAAGTAAGTGCTCGTCTGCTCCAGTGCTCCAGATGGCTGTGGAGCCGATATATGGGAGATTCCATTTCCCTGAAGTTGTTGGTAGATCAAACATGCTAACTCAACATTCATTCCAGCAGAGGGTTAAATTTTACATGCTTCCTCAGGGGTCCTTTTGTTTAGCAGCAGCCCTTTCCTTTACTCCGTCCTTAATTTTTTGTCTGTTTGCTGGCTGACTTATCTGGTCACCTCCCCTAACTCTTGCAACTTTCTGGGATTCAAAATACCACTACCACCTCCTGTCACCTCAGTAGCAGTCTTGGAATAGAGGAATGGGGGCAGGCAGGAGAGGAGAGATTCTCTTTAGTATGCTTCTAGTCTATAAAAATTGAATGGCATGTGTATGTTTAAATAACCTTTACCAGATGAGGTGGCTACTAGTTTAAGCTTCAAGAGCCAAAATTGCATTGGTAATGAGTAATAACACGTCAGATATATTGGTATCAATCCAGAAGATGCTTACCCTATGTCAGCATTTGAGAACAATTTAGTTTTGCTTATGTTAAACATTTTTGCTAAATATTCTTTTTAAAGTTGTTACTTAATTTCCATTTGAAATAACAGTATTTATAGCCTAAAATAGTTTTGTACAAACATTTCAAGTGGTATGTATTTTGTCTGAATTCCTTCTAGTACAGAATATTTTGGGGGCATGGAGGAAGCAGTGTGTAAATGGAATACATTATCCCTGTTGTAATTACATTAATTCAAAGATATACTGGGAAGTTCAGTGTTATCATAGTGTTATCAGTGTGAGCCCATACAATACCCATTTTAAACAATAGGATAGGGGGAAGCTGAGCACTCAGTAGTTTCCATTATCTCCCGGTAGTATCGGAGTGCCTCATAAATATATCTTAATTCCTGTGTGAGATACAGTATTATCCCCATTTTACAGATGGGAAACTGCGACAGGAAGATACTCACTATGTGTGGTCTTGCATAAGTGGCTAATCAGCAGATTCAGAATCACAACTCAGGACCTCCTGACTCCCAACTCCGTGTTCATTCCTCCAGACAATACTACGTTGCTGCTAGAGTTGCTGAGCATCCTCAGTGGCTGTCGATTTCAGTGGCAGTTGACTACTCTATAATTCTAAAAATTGGTCCTTGGTTGTCTCTAAGTGGGCATTCGGGAAATAAGGAATGCACAGTTAGTGCCACCTACAAAAATTCTGATTTTAAATGACTTTCCCAGTGTCATAAGACAAGCCTGTAGGATAGAACCTAGTTCTTCTAGGAAATGAACTGCCTTACCACCCATTCTCTTCCTGCAGTCCACTACCTTAATCTGTACACAATTTCTGCCTTTGAGTTGTAGAAGATGATTTACTTTCCCAGAAATTGTGCTTTAAAAGAATTCTAATTCTGTAATCAATTAAATGATTATTTAAAAATAGTACTAACGTATTTCTAATTATTCTATTTTATTACATAGTAGATAATTAGATATAAAATTTAGAATAACATGAACTTGCAAACCAGTCAGTGTTTCTTTTTCTGTCCAAACTCTGCTCACTATCATTATATTGTTTGTTCTATAGCCTAATTTTACCTTGAATGAACTAATCTTATGCAATTTCATTTCCCCCCCCCCTTTTTTTTTTTTTTTTTTTTTTTTTTTTTTTTTTTTTTTTTTTTTTTGACAGGGTGCTATCAGTGGTGTAAACAAAGATATTCCTATTCTTCAGTGCCATGGGGACTGTGACCCTTTGGTGCCTCTGATGTTTGGTTCCCTCACTTTTGAGAAGCTAAAGAGTCTGATAAATCCAGTCACTGTAACCTTCAAGACTTATTCGGGCATGATGCATAGTTCATGTATTGAGGTAATCTTCTAAATGAAAACAGGAATTGTTTTCAGAGAATTCTTCCTTTAAATGTTCCCTCAAAGCAGGAAAAAAAGGTGAACCTCAACGTTAATTTTCAAGGAAAACAAATGTTTTTGAGTGACTAATTATTTGAGGATGCTGCTTCAATTATTAGAGGAGGTATCTGAGCCTCTAGCTATTATCTTTGGAAAATCATGGGAGACGGGAGAGATTCCAGAAGACTGGAAAAGGGCAAATACAGTGCCCATCTATAAAAAGGGAAATAAAACCAACCCAGGAAACTACAGACCAGTTAGTTTAACTTCTGTGCCAGGGAAGATAATGGAACAAGTAATTAAGGAAATCATCTGCAAACACTTGGAAGGTGGTAAGGTGATAGGGAACAGCCAGCATGGATTTGTAAAGAACAAATCATGTCAAACCAATCTGATAGCTTTCTTCGATAGGATAACGAGTCTTGTGGATAAGGGAGAAGCTGTGGATGTGGTATACCTAGACTTTAGTAAGGCATTTGATACTGTCTCGCATGATATTCTTATCGATAAACTAGGCAAATACAGTTTAGATGGGGCTACTATAAGGTGGGTGCATAACTGGCTGGATAACCGTACTCAGAGAGTTGTTATTAATGGTTCCCAATCCTGTTGGAAAGGCATAACGAGTGGGGTTCCGCAGGGGTCTGTTTTGGGACCGGCTCTGTTCAATATCTTCATTAACGACTTAGATATTGGCATAGAAAGTACGCTTATTAAGTTTGCGGATGATACCAAACTGGGAGGGATTGTAACTGCTTTGGAGGACAGGGTCATAATTCAAAATGATCTGGACAAATTGGAGAAATGGTCTGAGTTAAACAGGATGAAATTTAACAAAGACAAATGCAAAGTGCTCCACTTAGGAAGAAAAAATCAGTTTCACACCTACAGAATGGGAAGAGATTGTCTAGGAAGGAGTACGGCAGAAAGGGATCTAGGGGTTATAGTGGACCACAAGCTAAATATGAGTCAACAGTGTGATGCTGTTGCAAAAAAACCAAACATGATTCTGGGATGTATTAACAGGTGTGTTGTGAGCAAGACACGAGAAGTCATTCTTCTGCTCTACTCTGCTCTGGTTAGGCCTCAGCTGGAGTATTGTGTCCAGTTTTGGGCACCGCATTTCAAGAAAGATGTGGAGAAATTGGAAAGGGTCCAGAGAAGAGCAACAAGAATGATTAAAGGTCTCGAGAACATGACCTATGAAGGAAGACTGAAAGAATTGGGTTTGTTTAGTTTGGAAAAGAGAAGACTGAGAGGGGACATGA